GTGATTTTAGTCAATGACGGTATTAGTGACCACACATCCTGTTCCCTCTCCTGCCTCCTTCCTGGTTCAGCTTGTGCAGTGAAACCACCCCTATCCCCAGAAGGACATAAAAAGAAAACCCTTCCCACTTTGGAGTCCCTGCCATGTTGGTGGAGCCTGAAATCTCCTTATAGTGCCCTGCCATGTTGATATGTAATTTCTGTCTGTTCATCACATCAATAACCTTCAGTAAACTCCTTCCTCCCCGGTAATCTGTCTCAGTGGTCCTCTGGTCCTCTTTTTTTTTTTTTTTTGGTTTTTTCGAGACAGGTTTTCTCTGTGTAGCTTTGCGCCTTTCCTGGAACTCGCTTGGTAGCCCAGGCTGGCCTCGAACTCACAGAGATCCGCTTGCCTCTGCCTCCCAAGTGCTGGGATTAAAGGCGTGCACCACCACTGCCCGGCCTCAGTGACGCTCTTGAATCCCCATCTGAGATTTTTCACACGCACTGATGTCATTACACCAGGGCGCTGTGGTGGCCACTTCATTTTTCCTCTGGTATCAGAGACTTCGGGACCTGATTTACCAGGTTCCCTCTGGTCATCTCCTGCCTCCTCCACCAGCACCACACTGCTCTAGAGTTCCTGAGATGTTTTCCCTTTCATGGAGGGCCACAGAGTGTCCTCTACATGACTACCAGTCCTTTCCTGGCTATTTTGTGGAAGGAGGAGGGTTGAGATAAATTCTCATATAATCCAGGCTAGTCTTGAACTCAAGATTCTCCTGTCTCCACCTCCCAGGTGCACTTACTGAGGTGTGGATCACCATTGGCTGTCATTGTTTCATTTTTTAATTGTATTAGATATATTTATTCACTGTGTATGTGAGTGTGCACACACCATGGTGTGGGTGTGTTAGAGGACAACGTCCAGGACTCAAGCTCTTTCCTGACTCAGCCATGCCCTGACCCTGGCATCTGGGCTGTCGTCAATCCCCTTCAAGGACTCTGGTGTAGACTGTTCTTGGAAACACTCAGGAAGTGCGATGGGGTGCAGTCTTGGACCACTTACCTTTCCTTCCCCTCCACCCGAGGAACACTGTCAACCCCAAAACCCCAGCCAGGAGTACAGCAGCAGCCACTGCCAATCCAACTCTGGTTCCCAGACCCAGGGTCTGATTCTTCCTTCTCTTCTTCCCTTCTGTGGCTGTGAGTGCAGTTCTGGTGAGTGCAGTTCTGGTGAGTGCAGAAGTTGCAGAGGTGGGGCTTGGAGAGGTGGTCCTGGGGCCTGGGAGGAGACAAAGGAAGTCAGCATGGAATGAGATTGGGAAGTGTAAGCCAAATAAACCTTTTCCTCCTTAAGTTCTTTGGTCATGGAGTTTTTCACAGCAATAGAAACTCGAACTAGGACACCTGCTGGCCCATGCATCCCAAGTCATGGGCTCTGTTCTAGTTTCAAGTCCTCTGTTGAATCCCCATAGGGGCCCTGCTGTGGGATGATTTCTGTCCAGGATGCTGCAATCCATCTCCTGCAGTGCCAACTCCATTCCCCCAATAGCAGTGACTATGCCCTGCTCTCACAGGGTTTGGGCACTTCCTGTGAAGAGTAGCCTGGGTCTTTGGTTTGTGTAAGTGGAAGTTTCTCTCCCTTCAACAACCCCGAAATACCTGGCAGCTGCTTCCCAAATTACCACCCAGAGACTTATATAATTAATATATATAATATTAATATAATTATATATAAATGATCTGCTGGTAGCTCTGGCTTATTACTAACTGGCTCTTATGCTTAAATTAACCCATAATTCTTATCCATGTTTAACTTGGTACCTTTTTTCAGTAGGGCAGTCTCATCTTGTGTTCTCTGCATCTGCCTGAGGACTCCTGATCCAACACTTCCTCTTCCCAGCATCCCCAGAGACCTGTGTGTGTTGCCATGCACTTGTAATCCCAGTACTTCAAGGGGAAAATAGTCAGGTCACTGGGACACACTGCCAGATGTCCTAGGCTACTTTGTGAGTTCAGCCCAGAGTAAGATCCATCAAAGGAAACGTAAGAAGAGAGACAGAGAGACAGAGAGCTAGAGAGAGGGAAAGAGAGACACAGAGAGAAATCTATCACTAGGGGTCTCTTTGCTTAGACATGAAAGAGAAAACGTGCAAAGAAGAGTACTATTGAATTTGGCTACAAAAATGAAATTATGGAAAGAGAATTAATAAGCCAACCACAGGGATCTTTTCAGTACTTGTTGCAAATATTTCTCCAGGTTCGATATCTTTGCCCTAAATGAGGATATTTTGCTCGGATGAAACATTTCTTTCTTTTTTTTTTTTTTTTGAATTTTTGACAATGAAAGCTAAAATATACATTAGAAAAAAGTTAGACCATTTAGGAAATGGTACTGGAAAGTGGTAGATAGGTCTGTGCACTCAAAAGGAAAACAATAGCGACAGATTTGTTTTTTTTTTTTTTTTTTTGAAACATTTCTTTTGAGGTCTGTGGATGCAGCTCAGTGGTGGAGTGCTTGCCTAGGGTGCATGAGGCCCTGAGTCCATCTCAAGCAGGGGACACAGGAGTGGTGAAACTCCCTTTTGGTCGCAGCTCTTGGGAAAGAGTTCAAGGCCATCTTCGGTAATATAGCAATTTGAGACTAGCATGGACACATGGGACTCTGTCTTAAAGAAATGGAAAAAAAAAGAAAGATGTCTTTTTATCGTTAATTTAATTATTTTAAAAACAATAGGCAAGAATATTCAGTTAATGAATTAATTTTTAAAATGCTGATAAAAAATACTGATGAAGAACTCACAGTGGAGGTGAGGTGTAAGTCAATGACAGAGCCCTTGTCTAGTGTGCATGTGGCCTTGGGAACAACAAAAAAACATGGTGTGTCTTCCTGAAGCAGAGGAAGGCGTGGCTGCCTTAAATTGATTGTTCTACAAGCACCTAATAGATTATCACCAAAGCTGGAGACATTAGGAAAGGAGGAAGAGGGAGGAGGCTGGAAGAACAGGAGCCATTTAGGAAAAGGTGTAGGAGACACAGGAAATGCAGAGGTAAGGTGTCTGGCCAGTTCTGGCTGTGGAGTTTATCCTGAACCAGCACAGGGTTAAGATGAGGACTGGTTTGCCAGGGGAGGCTGGTGGGTCTAACCTGGAAGGGACAAACCCACTTATCACCTGCACTGCTGAGAATTTGGTGATATAATTAATGATAATTGATTATTATTTGATTATTAATTTTATAATTTATTTTCAGCAGTGGTACATGAATGTGTGTATGTGTTTGTGTACCTGTGTGTGTGTGTTTGTGTGTGTGTCAGATGTTAACCTTGGGTGTTCCTTCCTCAGATGTCATTCACCTTATTTGTAAGACAGACCATGTGAGCACCTGTAACCCCAACACTGTGGGAGATGGAGACAAGAGGATCAATGGGGCTTCACAGCCCATCAGCCCAGCCTCAAACAGTGAGCTCCAGGTTCAGTGAGAGACCCTGCCTTAAGGGAATGAGGTGGGTCTTACTAAAGTAGGAATCCCAATGACCATCCACTGTGGCCTTCCCAAGCACAAAAATGAAATACACCCCCCACATACAAGTGAACTCATGCAAACACACACACACACACACACACACACACACACACACACACACACACACACACATGTTTACACCATATGTACACACTCCACAAAATAAAGACAGAAGGCAGGGGAGCAATAGTGTGAACTCAAGCAGAGGCCACGTGTCTACTGGTTGAGAGATGTTTGGAGGTAAAGGGTCCCTTACGGGGCCTGTTCCTCACCAGCATGACCTTGGGCAGGGCTTGCATTCTTCATGTCTCCATGTCTCTCTCTGTATAATGACCATGAGAGTGCCCAGCAGTGTGACAGGTGGCTGGGGTAATGTCCACACAGGGACTAGGCTGGGCCTGTGTGCACTCTGTGTGGAAGCTGCAGTTACAGCTGCCATGGAGGAGGAGAAGTGACCAGAGAACCTGATCATGGTGAGAACATGAGGGTCTGTGTGGGAAGATGGGGGACGGGGAGGGAGGAGGGGAAGAGGGAATTGAGGGAGGGGAAAAAAGAAACTGGGGCAGGGAGAGGTGAGGGATGTGTCTAGAGACTGGTGAAGTGGAGGGACCCAGAGGAGGAGGGGTACCCGGGACCAGAAGGCACCTACTGTAGAAGGCATGAGATACGGTGTAAAGTCTAGATCTAACGGAGACCCTGACACAGGACCAGGTGAAGGCTGCTCCGTCCTGGAGAGGCCAGATCCACGTGGATTTGTGTCAACGAGGGTGGGGTGGGCAGGGCGGTAGTCAGTTTGGAGAAAGGAGCAGGAGACTGGGCCATCAGGGAAGAGCTGAGGCTGGGGGTGGGGTGGATCTGAGGGCAATGAGGGGCAGCTCAGAGAGAGCAGCTAAGGCTTGTGGATGGTTGTGGGGAAGAGGAAGATGGAGTTGTCAGAGCTCTGGGGAGGGGACAGAACACATGAGAGGAGTCTGTGGGAAGGAACAGAAGTGTAGGATCTCTAATGACATCTATGGTACAAGGAAACCATGACCACAGGGCCTGACCTGGGATGTGCTCACCAGGAGTGATTGTGATTTGGGTCCCAGGAATTGACTGCCACCTCTCCATGCCTTCACTCGTGTACAGACTAACTCGGCAGAAGTACACTGTCTGGTCCTTCTCCTTCAAGTCCAGGATTCTGAGGACTCCAGATGTCTGAGGCTGTGTCCAGTTCAGGATGAGACGGTTCTTGAAATGCTCATGTATGAAACCCGAAGAGGAGTTGTAGATAGTTTCCCCAAAGAAGTTCTTCCATCTCCAGAGAATCTTCATCTGTGGTTCCTCTGCCAACTTCCAGGGGAAGTAGAAGGAGAAGGGGATCTTGATGGAGCCGCCCTGGACACCAGAGAGGTGTGCTGGTTGGTTGACCCCAAAGGGTCTTTCTCTGTTGTATCCTGCTGAGTAACCTGGGAAGAATGGAGAGAATATGAAGTCTCTTCAGGGAATGGAAAAGACAATTCAGAGCTTCCTGAGCCATTATCCACAGGACAGTCCTGTGTCCCATTGTCCCAAACAGATCAGGACAGACAAGGCTGTGTTGGACTGGACCCACTCTGAGGATGAGCTCTCTCTTGGGGCACAGAGCACTGTCTGGCTCCTCCAGCAGACCCCTGTCCACGTGACAGCCTGCTCTTCCCAGCTCCACTGGCCCCTCCTGTGGTTAGGGCAGAGTCCCTGCTAACAAGGTCCCCACCACTCACCAGCTTGCAGACAAGCAGCTGACATTAGCAGAAGCAGGATCCAAGCCATGGCCTGATTCCCTCCCGGAAGTGAGACCAGCAGAGCCATCAGATAGGAGAGGAGCCCTGTGCAGGGACCCTGGGGTGCTCAGGAGTCAAGAGAATAATGATAAGATGACCCAGATGCACTGGACCTTCTCATGTGGAGGACAGAGTGGGGCAGGACCTCCCCATCTCCACCTCCTTGTGTCCAGCAACTTTCTTCATGATTCTGGCTTCTTCTTTCCCATGCTGCAGAAGATCTGCCCTGTGGTCACTGACAGGGTGGCTCTGACATTGAGCTCAGCCCATATTTTTAGCTGGAAGATGTGGAATTGACCTTTGTATGCCTGGCTCTTCTCTCTTACTTCTTGACCTTGTGTCTTATCCAGTCTTACCCATTTCCTATGTGGCCTGTAATTACTGTTTTCACAACACCTCTAGAGATCTTCCTCTCCTGCCATTTTCCTCCTCAATTTTCCTTTTTTTTTTTTTTTTTTTTTAATTTTGTTTTTCTAGACAAGGTTTCTCTGTATAGCTTTGTGCCTTTTCCTGGAACTTCCTTTGGAGACCAGGCTGGTTTTGAACTCACAGAGATCCGCTGGCCTCTGCCTCCCGAGTGCTGGGGTTAACGGCGTGCACCAACAGCCCAATCTATTTTTAATTATGTTTCCCATCATGCTGTCTGTCTGTCTGCCTGTCTGTCTAGTAATTTCAGGCACAGAAGTGGTCAGTTTCTGCTCACTTCAGACACAGTGAGGATGGAGGTGATGAGGAAACACATTCAGTCCCAGCCCTAGCTCGGTGTCCCCACCACCATCTGCTCTTTGTCCTCTTCTTGTCCTTCAGGGACTCTGCACAGCACCCGGCAGAAACAAGGCCCAGTGGACACTCTCGCCCTGGCGTGCTCACTGCTGCCGAGTCTGTAACTACCCTGGGCTTCCTGGGTGATCATCTCCCTACCCTAGACAGTGACTCTAAAGCTGCTCCAGTTTCTGAAGGAGACTTTCTACATCTCACCAACCTCCACACAACTCAGAAGAGGATACCAAGGATCAGAGAAGCCCTGGCACACATCACATGACTGCCACATGGCAGGTTGACTGGACTCCACACAGACTTCACTCTGCCTGCTACTTGCAGCTTCTGAACTCTCCTCAAAGTTTAGAGATCAGCTGCTGGGTTCACAGGAGGCTGTTCCCACAAAGCACTTGAGTGACTCCCTTTAGCTGTGGCTGTTCTAGAACCTTCTTTGGGTGAAGTGGGCAAAGACTCAGAGCAGCAACATTCACTTATGATCCCAGCTGCCCCTCGAGCTCTTCTTCACTGCTGCTACCTGCTGGGTCCTTAATCCCAAGTCATGGGTCTGTTCTAGTTTCAAGTCCTGGACTCAGTGAATCCCCACAGGGACCCTGCTGTGGGATGATTTCTGTCCAGGATGCTGCCATCAGTCTCCTGCAGTGCCAACCCTGTTACCCCCAACAGCAGTGACTGGACCCTGCAGTCATGATGCTTTCACAAGGGAGAGGCACTTCGTGTGGGAAAGCAGCCTGGGGCTTTGGTATGCACACATCAGGCTTTTACATACATGTGACCATGGGGAGTGTCTCTACTTATATGAGTGCATACATTCACTTGCACACAGACACACACAAATACTAAAGACACCTTTCACAGCTGATCTGCCACCACACGTTTACCCAGTATTCATCCTGAGTAAACACAGCCTCCCAGGACAGGCTTTGTGATTCTTTAGACTGCAGTTCCTGATGGTGTCGCCAGTATTCAGACTTTGATTTTATACCCAGCTGTGTTTTCCCATGACAGTGGTGGCAAGAACAGGCTCAACTCTTCCTGTTTCTGTGTAAATCATCCAGGTAGAACCTTGAGGGGACAGTAGATAAACATAGAGAGAAATTAGGCAAGAAAGGAGCTAGACATGAGAGCAGAATAGAAGCTGTGCAGAGAGAGAACTATCACAGAATAACAAAGTGTATGAACTAAGGAGTTTCGTGTACATAGATTCATTTCTTTTCATCAAAGGTTAATTATCAGCTGGTTGTAGATTCTTCCCGGACCCTGGGAGGGGACTATCGAGGGACTGGACCCCCATAGTCCCCGATAGAGGAGGAAGGTTCAGAGGAGGCCATGTACAGTAGGAAAAGAAGAGGCAGGAGAGAAGGGTGGAGAGGTTGGAAGTGGAGAGAAAAGGGTAAGAAATGTGGAAGATCTGGAACAAAGGATTCTGGGGCAGCAGGGCTCACTGACCATAGAGAAAGAGAGAGAGAAGAAAGGGAAGGATGGGAGAGCTGTTGAATCCAGACGGATCTTCAAGGCTGAGAGGAAACAGAGACAGAGAGGGCAACCCAGGAAATGGAAGAAGAGAGGGAGGAAGAATGAGTCCTAACGTGGGTGTTGTTCTGGGAAGGAGACTCCTGAGATCCTCTGCACTCCTTGTCAGTGTGTGAATCTGGTGCCTGAGGAGCCTGAGGTCATAGAGGACAAGGAGGGAGCAGACAGGAAGAGTCAGTGGTTAGGGAGATGTGAAGAGCCCTGGGTGTGGTTTTCCTTTTTAATGTTATTTGAAGGGGCTGGAGAGATGGCTCAGTGGTTAAGAGCGCTGGCTGCTCTTGCAGATGACCTGGATGGCGCTCACCTGGCTGGGGTTTCGGCTTTAGTCCTCTGTCCTGTGGGGAAGAAACAGTGTCAGTGTGACATCAGTGCTGATCCTCCATCATCCCTCTCAGCTGTCCTCTGTGTTCAGACCACCTTCAGAGGACAGGGGAGCAGAGAACCTGCCCCAGGCAGTCAGAGAGGAGCCTGAGCTCCCTCTGCTGGGCTGTGTCCTACACAGCAACCTCCCCAGATCTCTGCTAGGTCCATGTCCACCCCTGTCTCCTCTGCTTCCTTCACCAACCTTGAGTTCCCTCACTCCACACCTGCCTCATCTACTCTGCCTTCACCAGCCTTCCTTTTTGTGACTTTGGAGACCGCCTCTTTCTGGATTATATTTCCCTCTACTGGTCTATTTGTCTTGGTGCATACTATGCTGTTTTCATGACTATAGGGTCCCCCCTCCCCCCACTTATTTATTACGTGGAAGGATGAGCCACAGTTTGTATGGAGGTCAGAGGGTAACTTGTGGCCATCAGTTCCCTCCACCATGTGGCTCCCAGGCTTGGACACTGACACCTTTTACTCTCTGAGGGCTACCGTGTTCTTTAGAAAAATCTATTATTCATTTATTCATTTATCTACTGTAGGTTTTAAAGTTTTTTGTTAATGTTTTGTTTTTAGAATTTTAAATTTATGTGCACATGAGAGTAGATGCCTGTGGGATTCAGGAGAGGACTTCCAACAGACCTGCAGCCAGAGTTACAGGAGGTTGTAAACTGCCTGATGTGGGTTCTGGGAGCAGAACTCAGGTTCTCTGCCAGAGCATCAAGTATTCTTAACTCCTGACTAATCTCTCTGTGTTTTCTCTTTTGACTTAAGTACACTTTCCTTGGTTGCTCTTTGTTTTTTGGACAGCTCTGTCAGATCCACATGAGCACTTCAACTGTAATCCCAAATCACCTGGTCAGCCCACCGCTGTGCAGGTTTGAGTGAATAATCTTCAGCATAGGCTCACCTATTTGAAATCTTGGTCATATTGGAAAGGTGTTTTCTGCTTGTGTTGCCGATGTGACTTCTCAGTGTCCTGCTTCAGCTGCCCCTCCACTATTAACCTTCCTTCTGGACCACAAGCCAAATCCAATTCTTCCTTCCTCAAGTTACTTTTGATTATGATGTTTTATCACCACAGTGGAAAAGTAACCGCCATTACACACTCTCAAACAGACTTCCTCTTTCTGTCCCTATATGGCTTGGTTGTTTCACCGGAGTGTTTCTCAACACACTTACACTTGTTCCTGTTCCCTGGTCCCCATGTCATCCATCTAATCACTGAGTGTTTGTTTGAGGTCTTCCACACCCAAGGATGACTTTGAACTACTGATCCTCCTGCCTGCCCCTTGCACACACTGGAGTTACAGACATTCACTACCACACCAGGCTAATCACAAAGTCTGAAAGGTTTTTCCTTGACATTTTCCTGGTTCTGGCCATTCATCCCCATGTGCAGCTCCACTGTGGCAAAGTGACACAGCCTGGTCCCCTCCAGTCTGTCCTCTGCACCCTAAGGCTGTGATGTCAGAATCCAGCTGCTGCTCAGGGCACAGCACCGCCCTTCACCTCTCACAGAGACACTGCTGTCCAGACACTGTTCTCTCCAGCTGACCTGCTTCCATCCAGGTCCAGGGGTTCTCACCTGGGCAGTGATTTTAGTCAATGACGGTATTAGTGACCACACATCCTGTTCCCTCTCCTGCCTCCTTCCTGGTTCAGCTTGTGCAGTGAAACCACCCCTATCCTCAGAAGGACATAAAAAGAACTCCCCTTCCCTCTTTGGAGTTCCTGCCATGTTGGTGGAGCCTGAAATCTCCTTAGAGCGCCCTGCCATGTTGACTGTAATCCGTCTCCTGCAATGCCAACTCCATTCCCCTAATAACAGCGTCTGTGTCCTGCAGCCATGATGCTTTCAGGGGGGAGAGGCACTTTCTGTGGAAGAGCAGCCTGGGGCTGTGGTGTGCACAGTGCTTCTGCACATATGTGACCATGGGGAGTGTCAGACTGCAGTGTGAGAACCTGGCTGCTGCTCAGACTGTAGCACATGTGTGCCCTGCCCCCACAGAATAAAGAAGGAAGTGCAATTTTAAATATTTAAACTCAGGGTGGGCTGGACAGAAGGATGCATTCCTTTAATTCTATTTTTTTGGCGGGGGAGTTGGGGAGGCGGTGGAAGAAGCAGAGCAAGAGGCAAATGGATCTTTTTGAGTTCCAGGCTATCCTGATCTACATATACAGTTCCAGGCCTGCAAGAGCTATATAGTTACTGTTTCAAAAAACAAAAGCAATCAAAATAAAAAACAAAATCCAAACCAAAGAACAAAAACCACAAAAAAGAACCAAAAATTCAAGGTGAATGGTGTCCTGAGTAGTAATGCCTGGGGCTGTCCTCTGGCCTCCACATGCACAGACTCACTTGCACACACATGCACATGAACACAGACACACACAATCATGCAAGGCACCTTTCACAGCTGATTTGTCACCACATGTTTACCCAGTCCTCATCCTGAGTAAACATGGTCTCCCCGGCCAGGCTCTGTGACTCTTCAGACTCCAGTTCCTGACAGTGACCCCAGCATTCAAACTCTGATTTTATACCCAGTTGTGTTTTCCCATAACAGTGGTGGCAGAGAACGGGATTGGCCCACCTATTTATGTGTGAAAAATCCAGTTCCAGAAACTTCCCTCAAATAACCCACAGTGCAGACCCTGTGGGCCTGAAACGCCAGATAACCTCATTGAGGAAAACTGTCCATCTGTCTGCCCTTCCTGGCATACCACCAACCCTCCCACTCCTTGATTTCTTTCCTCCAGTGATAACATACAGACCCTAGATGTAACCCAAGACTAGCCCAGTTCTGGGTCCTGAGGAGAGTGGAGGAGATGCTAGAGAGGGTGGAAGGATGGCGGCTGGTGGTGTAGACAGGACACTCAGGCTGCACCTGAGACTTTACATTAGCACAGTTGCCCCACCCCCATCTGACCTCTTCTTTCTCCCTAGGATGACATCATCATCTTCATCTCCCTCATGTGCTGCCAACCTCAGCATGAGTACTCCCTGCACCCCTGCCAGGGGAGCCCCAAGAAGAGACTCTATACTGTACTAAAGCTCCAGTGAGTGGGCCTTGTGACCAGCTCAGTCTCCTGCTACTCTGCATGAATTCTCCCATGTTCTGCAGATAGACAAGGCCGGAGGCAGAAACTCACATGTCACTGAGTTTCAGGTCACAGAAATGGAGAAACTCCCAATTTCCTCTTCAATACTGTATATTGCTTAAATGAAACTATAAATAGTTACATGATTTGTTTGAGAGAATCTAAAGAAAAAACTGGTGATATCTTCAAGTTCTCTGTCTCCTACCAAAGTGAACTAACAGATAACCAGCCTCCATGACTTTGCTGACTCTTTGGATTTATGGTTAGCTTGCTGTTTGTTTAGTTTTGAAACAGAGTCTCATGTAGCCCAGGCTGACCTCAAGCTCAGTAGGTATAATTCATGGTCTTGCTATCTCTACAGTCAGTCATTGGATTACAGGCATAGGCCACCTTGCCTGGCTTCCTCTAGTACTTCTTTTAACTGACTGGCTCAGGCCAGGGAACACAAATCCCAAACACTGGTAGTCACGATAGAACCCATGTCTGCTCCCCATTCCAACAGTAATGTTCCTTCACCCTGAGGGGATTTGACCTAAATGTTGTTGAGAACGTAGGTTCTGTGAAGTCTTTGCTGTGGGCTCCTTTGCTGTTTCTTCCCTTTGAACAATGGAAACTGATGACATGGCAAGTCACATGACCACTGGAGAAACAGCTTTGAGGCTCCTTTCCTGTGCCCAGCCTCCTGGAAGGAGGAGATGATGAATAAACACTCCCATTGAAGACTGGCCAGACCATCATCCTGGCATTCTGCTTGTGTGAACACCCAGGGATGCTCAGAGGAGACACCACCCCAGCTGCCAAGATCACTGAGACCATGGCTGCTGCTGAGTTCAGCCTCAGGAGGCTTGGATCCAGTTACACCACTGCAGACATCTCACAGCTGCCTCAGGAGACCTCACTTCAGCCAGGAGAAGCCTGGGTGACATCTCCGGGACCCCTCCTGTCTTCAACCAGTCTCATGGGAATTGGGGACAGTTTCTTAATAGACTCATCAATTTGATATGCCATGAGACATGATTAGTAAGTGTGGTGATATATTGTGCACCCCAATAAATTTTATCTGGGGATCAGAGGACAGAGCCAGCCACTAGATTAGACATAGATGTCAGAATGTGATGGCACATATCCTTAATCCTACCAGTGGGAGACAGTGATTTGTGTGGAGATCTGTGTGGATCTCTGTGAGTTCAAGACCACACTGTGAACAGAGCCAGGTGTGGTGAAACACACCTTTAATCCCAACACTTGAGATCTCATGCCTTTGCTTGGGAAGCATATATGCCTTTGATTCCAGGAAGTAAGATGGCTGGGCAGAGAAAGGTTTATAAGGCGTGAGGAAACAGAAACTCACTGTCCTGAGACTGAGGATTTTCTAGAGGTAGGAGGTAGTGGCTGGCTTGTTCTAATGCTCTGATCTTTCAGCTTTCACCCCAATAACTGGCTCTGGGTTTTTTTTTATTAATAAGACTGTTTAGCAATTTGTGCTTAAAAAAGAAAAAGGGTTGATAGCTCCAGGGACAGACAGGAACAGCAGCGTTGGGCTCTCGGGACCAGAGACAGACACAGGACATCAGAGCCCACATGGCAGAAGTGGGGGTTCTCTTCTTGTACCTATCCAAGGACAGGATGTGTCCCAGCACAAGACTGCACCCATGCTCCCTGATTCCCAGGCAGGAGACAGGGAAGTGGTGAGATGCAGGATGTGTGGCCATCAATCCCCACTTTGATGTAAACTGACCTCCCTGGTGAGAGTTCACAGCCCTGGAGGTCTGTTAGCTGGGGACTGACAGACAATGTTTGTCTCTAGAAGGAGAGAAACATTTTCCAGAGTCAGTTTTCTCCTTGCACCATTTGGGTTCCCAGAATCATATGCAGATCATTGGGCTAGGCTACAAACACCCTTTCACATTGAGCTATCAATCTGCTCTCCACTTTTCTTTTTTCCATTAATTTGTAATTTTTAAATACTTGTTTTTAAAATAAAATTGGAAAATGTTATACCATGATTTATCCCCTTGATGAATCCACATTATTTTTTATGACATGGTGTCTCATTTTTCTGTAACTCAGCAATTAGGCTAGATTAGCTGGACAGACAGCTCCATGACACTGGCTGTCTCTTGCTTGTCCATGGCTGGGTTTACAAATTCCCATCACCTCCCTAGTTTATACTGAGGGTTCTCCCAATCAAACTCAGGTCCTCCAACCTGTGTGCAATGCTTTTCTGGTGAAATTATCGCTCCAGATCCCTTGCATGCCTCTCATAAAAATTCCCCAAACAGCCTGTCTTAACCAAAGTTTCATTGCTTTGAAGAGACACCATGACCACGGCAACTCTTATAAAGGAAAACATTTAATTGGGGTTGGCTTACAGTTTCAATAGTTTAGCTGATTATCCCCAAGGTAGGAAGGTTGGAGGTACATAGGCAGGCATGGTGCTGGAGAGGTAGCTGAACATCTACATTCAGATAGCAGACTGCAGGAAGAGAGAGGGAGACACTGGTCCTGGCTGGAGGATTTGAAGTGTGAAAGCCCACCCCCAGTGACTCACTTCCTCCTACAAGGCCACAACCTACTCTAACAATGCCACACATCCTATGTGCCACTGCCTTGGGATGAAGCAGACAAATCCTTGAGGCTATCTGTAAATTCTTATTCAAACCACCACACAGGTCCTCATCTGTTCCTTCAGATGACAGGCTCTCCCATGGCTGGGGTTCATCTTTAGTCTGCTGGCCTGTAGGAGAAGAAACAGTGTCAGTGTGGCAGCCATGCTGATCCTCCATCTGCCTCTCAGCTCTTCTCTGTGTTCAGACAACATCAGGGGGCCAGGGCAGCAAACAGCTCTGCAGCAGACATTCAGGGACAGCTCTGAGAGTCACCAGGACCTGAGGACAGTCCTCAGCTGTCCTTCTGCACAGCACAGACAATCAGAGGACAGCTCTCCTGGTCCTTTGCCCTTGTCCATGTCCTTCTCCCTCTGCTTCCTTCCCCTGCCTTGAACCCATGTCACCTCCCTGCTTTCCCTGCTCTGCACTCACCATGCCTCCCTTTTGTCTCCCTTTGGCTCTCTAGCTCTCCCTGTGAGTGCAGGCTGCTGCCACCCTGCAGATTCAGTCTCAGGGTTCAAATCCCAGTCAGACTTCTGCTGCTTCTCAGGCTGCTGCTCTCCAGCTCTCAGAATCCCCTCTCACCTATTGGAGGTCTGAGCCCTTCTGACGACCAGGAGATACATGTTCAAGTCTGTATTCTTGGCTTTTTATTGCACTCTACTTGTCTCTGTACCTATCCTAGTCTTCTTCTTAACATACAATTAAATCTGCTCTGCAGCCACTCAACACTTGTGGGGTTTTTTTCTTGCGGTGTGTGTGTGTGTGTGTGTGTGTGCGCGTGTATGTGTGTGTGTGTGTGTGTACAAGGTCTCCATGAACCCAGGTGGGCCTTTAATTTGCTATGTACCTGCAGATGACCTTGAACTCCTGAGTCCCCTCTCTGTACTTCTCTCTTGTTGGCATTACAGGTGTTCCCCCATTATGTCCCCTTTTTTGTGTTCTTAGAATCCCCAT